TCCAAAATGACAAAAATATTCACCAAAATTAGAGAATTGAAGATATGATCATGAAATGAATAAATCTGAGAGAGGTCTACCCAAGGTACATATACACCAAGTATCAAAGCATTCAGGCTTGTAGTTTTCAAGAAGAAGTCGAATAAGTAAAACATTGACACAGACGACGGCAGACAATCACTCATATGATAAGCTCCGCTCGACAAAGTCGACAGCGGAGCTAAAAAGTTGAAAATATCACTTTTTACCAAAAATGACAAAAATATTCACCAAAAATAGAGAATTTGAGATTTTGGCATGAAATGAACAAATCTGAGAAAGAACCATCCAAGGTACTTGCATATCAGATTTAAAAACATTCTGACTTGCGGTTTCGAAGAAGAAATTGAAAATGTAAAGTTGACGACAACGGAGACGGACAATGATTAATTAATATGAAAAGCACCGCTGTGTCGACTTTGACAGCGGAGCTAAAAAATATGGTTTTCATCTTTCTTTTCAAAATTCAGCCATCTCCAAAAATAATCAGTCAACAGCAGAGCTAAAAATGTTACTTACTTAGATCATAGAATACCACTGCAATTACTACGAGTATCATTTTTACCATCCAGCACCCCTGGTAAAAATGGTTGAGTCCAAGAACACCCGAAACAAAGAATGTTCTAATGAATATTGCAATGTTAGCAAGGGAAACTGATAAAGAGATAGCTGTTTTCATGATCAGTTTATTTTGACATCTGCTGTAATCTTTCCTATGATCTTTCTAAAATTGTCTAATGTATTCTCTGGTTTATGGTACAAATCTCAACTGTACCTGTAACATATCGTGTATAAATTCTCTACTTTCCACTGAAAGCCATGTAGGTTCTTCATATTTGCCTTGTTGTATCTTTCTATATAAGAATGCTATATTGTCGTCATCAAAAGGCAAAAAACCACACAGTAAAGCATATAATAAAACTCCCATACTCCATACATCAGCCTGCAAACAAGAAACATGAATGATATATACATTGTACTATATTTGCTCATTTGCAATTAAAGCACATACTGTAGCTTCGAGGTAAGTGGCTTTCGTGTTGGGTGGGTCTCACGGGGAGTAAAGCTTGTTGCAGTAAATGGTACTTTCATCATCGCTGAGAATTGAAGTTTTATGTTTCTTTAACAACTTGCGCTATTCTGGGAATATGTCACATTATAATCCAGTATCTGTAATTAGTTACTTGTAGTGTACACCACTTCAGATGGTATTGCTTTAAACAAAGAACTAGTTAGGGGAGACAGGGGTTAGGTTGAGGACAGGTCGCTCAGCTGTACTGTTATTATGCAAATTTCTTTGTTTCTGTTCCCTCGTGGTGAGCACTGAGAGCAAATTCTTGAGTCTCCCCAGAACACAGTCCTGGAAGGTTGTTCTTAGGCAACTTCTTGCTAGGGTCTTGTGACGAGCCAAGTTTTGCTTTTTGTATGGGGCGCTAATGAAGTGGCTGTATCTCGACCGGATTCGGCTGATACCCCGCCCATCCTAAACCCCGTCCATGGGTGATGTTTCAAATAGTGGACGATGTTTTGGTCCACACATTGCCTGACTGAACCAACAAACATTTTTACAGACCTCAATTTTCCCGTCCGACATCTTGCATCGACTGCACTATTTCAAATATGACGCTAAAAAATAATTCACTGTGAAGTCGAAAAGCATAAAACTCCAATAAATCCAATGATGTATATGAATTGTTGTTGCGTATTATGACTTGTTAATACATTTCACTTACGTTTATTACACTCTAATAAAGTCTAAGCTTGAAAAGAATGCTATTTACGAAGTTTAAAATAGATAAAACTTCCTGATTTGAGCCTCTTGGTTGATTTGACAACGGTAGGTATCAGTAATGTTTATTTTTTGTCTGTATCGCATTCCAGACAAAAAGTTCAAGATCGGTAAACAAGAAATGGGCAAACTAAAATGTCTCCTGTGTTTCACATGCGACATGATTATTAAAAAAACAGATTTGAGCAGTCATGTACGTTCTATAAATATAACCTTGCACACATAATCTTGTATTGATGTATTTTTTTGTTGAATTCGCGCTCATGGTATTTGAGAGAGTTGAAAGATTTTTAGAACAAATGACAAGTAACTATATTGATTTGCGTCAAGCTGGGAGGCCCGAATTTAAATATCAGTGCATGAACTCTGGAGGTCATTGTCCAATGCCGCACGTAATTCAAACACGTGGTTATTAGAGTTCAGTCAAAATGTACGTGAATAATGTGATCGAAGTGCGCTGCCCAGAGTTTATTAAATTATAATAAAATTTTACTTGACGCATGGTATGGTTTATGTTTATGTATAAAATAATTCACCATTGGAACATCGATGAATCACAAGTATTTCAAATATTTTCTCGACTTTCCGTAGATACCTGACTACTATCCTTTTTAATGATTTAAATGCGCCCATGTTTATGTTTGCATACCTATTACGAATACAACGCATTATCAAGTCGGTAATTTGAAATATTCACAGACCCAATACCCTGGGTCGGTGCCCTAACAATAGTAAACAATAACTTGAGTTTGCATAATTATCATGAAAGCAATACATTACAAAGTTGAAATATTCAGAGCCGGTACAATATTGTAAACAAATTTTCATAATTAGAAAAGCAGTGCACTAAGTAAACGACGTTGATATAGTCAAAGCCAGTACAGAGTTGTATACAAGTTGTGTTGTTACAGTACCGCTGGATATAATAACAATTTTACTAGATGGACGCGCAGACCAAGAAAGAAAAAGGTTGCTAAGGTAACGTGCCAGTTCAGTGCGTGATTTGGGGTCAAACTTCGGTCAACACACACTTAATGTCAGCATCGCAGCGCAGCAAGTTTCGCAAAAAAGTACTTCAATTTCAATTGCGTCCCAAAATGATGTCGCTGATCACTCAGCTGTTGCAGCGTGTGTTGTGTTATGTCTATGATGCACCCCGTTTTGACTTTGGCTTGCCTTTCCTTCTTAGTGCATGTTCTTGTTCACGAAAAATGCGACCTTTCACCAATGTATTAAAACACTTTGAATTTATACTTTGCATGATTATATTTGATCAACACGAAACATTATTTTTTCTAAACATTTTCTGAGACCATTTTTATCAACGCAGGGTTATTTTTCCAGACAATATGGGCTTCGTAATATCTGCCATAACATCGCCCGGGCGATCTTTTGGTCCACATTTTTCTAAAAAAAAAAATCAAATTCTCCATAAGATCGCCTAGGGCGGGGTATCAGCCGAATCCGGTAGTATAAGCCTGGGCCAGCTTTGGAACCAATGTGTTCAGATTTTCTGGCAGGAACTGTACAAGAAAGACAGTAGCTTTAACTAGCTATTGTGGGTATTTGGGCCAGCACGTTGGAGATGTCTTGTTGGTACGTACAACTCAATTGCTGTACACCTGGGGTTCGTCACAAAGGAACTAAATGCAAACTCATTTGCCATCTTGAATTTTACCAAGCAGTTGGTGTCACATTATTGGAAGATACGTGTGGTCTCACTTGGAACCACATGCTACATTACTACGTTTTGCGCTAGCAGTCTAATGTTTCACTAATGGGCAGAAAATCCTAAATTTGTAAACAGATTGTATTTAATCCCTTTTTCTTCTCGATTAATTAAAGTTATTCTTTCAATGTTATTTAACCAATTCGTGGTCTTACTGATTGATGGATCACTAGGCAACATAGTCAAAATTGTTGGCATCTCTTGCGGTTTTCAACAATAAGTCGAAAATATCATTTTTTACCAAAAAGAAAAGAATTGAAGATATCATCATGAAATGAACAAATCTGAGGGAGAACCATCCAAGGTACTTGCATATAACATTTTAAAACATTCTTACTCGCGGTTTCGAAGAAGAAGTTGAAATTGTAAAGTTGATGACGACGACGGCAGATAATCAGTAATATGAACAGCTTCGCTGTGTCGACAGTAGAGCTAAAAACAAGAATAAGCACGCCTTGACTTGCACTTTAAAAACACATTTTCAATACACATAAAGCAAATATGGGGCTTCTTGTATATAAAATCATTGAAATAAATATATGATTGAAAAATAAAATGATGTGCATCAAGGTCCCACCATAATGTCCAACGTATGTACCAAGTTTGAACAAAATCAATCCAT